GCCTTCAGCTATTCAACAGAGAGCTATTATCCCTTGCATTAAAGGTAAAAGAAAAAAGTGTTGACCTTTATTTACTAAAACGAATTCACTGTTCAGCATTGAGGTGGCCCATAAGAGGGAAAGTAACCTTTGGGGGACTGCTAGCACGTATTTGTATTCCTTAAAGTGAAATGATGGCAATCATCTTTCGGGACTGACCTGAAATGAAGAAAATACTCACTGCTGATCACTTGATTGTTTGGGCATAATCATGTTCCAACTGGAATACATGGTGTGTGGTAGAAGTGACAATTTTGCTGTGGGATCGGTAAATGTGTATCCTACTTTTTTTAGGGTATGATGTGATTGCTCAAGCTCAGTCAGGTACTGGCAAGACAGCCACATTTGCTATTTCCATCCTGCAACAGTTGGAGATTGAGTTCAAGGAGACCCAAGCACTAGTATTGGCCCCCACCAGAGAACTGGCTCAACAGGTATTGATAGTGTAGTTCAAAAAAAAACTGCTTGCGTGTTGCATAGGTTTCAGGTTTCACAACTGAATAATTTTAAGACAGTACAAATTGCCCTATCAGCCATCATTTATTATCCATGCATGCAGGGAGTTCAAAGTTAAGCAGGAGGTGGGTGTGTAGGTACTGTTTATAGTGGTAAACAGGATGAGGATGCAAAGTTTTCTGTTAACAGTGGACTAGATGTATAGCCATATTTTGTAGTTGAATCCAGTTGTGCAACATGAAAACTGCAGTGACATGTTACCATTTGACTGTCTCAGTAGTTTGTGATGCATCTGTTGCATGCGATGTTTTTGAAGCTTAATGACATAATTGGCTCTTCAGTAAGATTTTCTAATAAAGCCATAAAACCTTTATTAAAATCCAAGATTATAAGGGTAATAGTACCTACCCTGAGACAAAATTTGGCCAATATTTTCCCCAGCTGTAATTACAGATCATGTTTCAGTATTACACTTTCCTGCACAGTGAATAATGTAGGAAACTAATTGTATAGCTGATGTCTGGGATAACAAGATCCCACATTTGAAACAGTAAAGAAATTAAGGGAATTAGAACAGTCGTGGTTAGACTTGGAAGTAGTTTTATGCTGTGCATGCATAGAAGCTGTTGGCAGACCAAGTATTTGCCATTATGCCTTGGAAATAAGTCTTCAAAGTTCATAATTCTACAATGGAATAATTATGGTTTTTGGCCTTTAGATCCAAAAGGTAATTCTCGCACTTGGAGATTACATGGGAGCAACTTGTCATGCCTGCATTGGTGGAACCAATGTTCGAAATGAAATGCAAAAGCTGCAGGCTGAAGCGCCACATATTGTTGTTGGTACCCCAGGGAGAGTGTTTGACATGTTGAACAGACGCTACCTTTGTAAGTAGTGTTCTTAAAGACTATAGTTTTGTACTGTTGGCAATAGTTACATTTGGGAGTTTTGAAATTCTGAATGGCTTTTTTAACAGCTCCAAAATGGATCAAAATGTTTGTTTTGGATGAAGCTGATGAAATGTTGAGCCGAGGGTTCAAGGATCAAATCTATGAGATTTTCCAGAAATTAAATACAAGTATTCAGGTAAGCATTTATTTTGCCCTCAAAGTTGAGGCTTGGATTAATGCAGGCACAGTTACAATATAACTGAAGTGTTTTATTGTCGTTCCCCCTGCTTAAAGCATATGATACATTACTATCTCTGTCTAGCTTTATTCCATACTAAGACAGAGACGCTTGGTCTCAAACATTAATTACTGTGAAAGTTCTGTTTACTTGAATTACATTTTTTTAAGGTCGTGTTGCTCTCTGCCACAATGCCAACTGATGTGTTGGAAGTGACCAAAAAATTCATGAGAGATCCGATTCGAATCTTGGTGAAGAAGGAAGAATTGACCCTTGAAGGAATCAAGCAGTTTTATATAAATGTTGAGAGAGAGGTAATTTGTCTTTAGTGTTCAATAATATGTTTACTTTGTTTACTTCTTGTATAAGCACTGTGCTAAAATTGCAGAAACTAGGATTCTGTCTTGGTTTCTGTAATAATGCTAGCAGAGTACACACAAGAAGAAAAGTAACTGCACTAGATCCTAAAGACTGGGGTGGACCTCTTTCTTAATGTCCAGTGTCCTTTGTCTTAAGATTTGGTGCAATACGCTGATAGAAATAAACTAGTGGAGAGTTGGGAACTAAATGCATCTTTTCTTTGAAATATTTAAGGAATGGAAGTTGGACACACTTTGTGACTTGTACGAGACACTGACTATCACACAAGCTGTTATTTTCCTCAATACAAGGCGCAAAGTAGACTGGCTCACCGAGAAAATGCATGCCAGGGACTTTACAGTTTCTGCTCTGGTAAGAGGTGTTCTAATTGAGTGCTGATTGACATTTGTTACAGCAGGATTTAGACTACAATATAGCTGCTAAGTGCTGTGTTGTCGTTCCCCCTGCTTAAATTAAGGTTGTTTCTTAACTATACCTGTCTGCTATACCTCTGTAGCAGCCAGGGACGCTTGGTCTCATACATGTTGTGAAAATTCAGTGTTGACCTGGCTGGTAATTCTTGAATTAAGATTTGCTCATTTTCTTGCAGCATGGTGATATGGATCAGAAGGAGAGAGATGTTATCATGAGGGAATTCCGTTCAGGGTCAAGCCGTGTTTTGATCACTACTGACTTGTTGGTAAGTTTGACATAACTTACAGTATACCAAAAGCTAATTTTGGGGAAAGGTTTTCTTTAATAACCTTTACCAACTTAGGCTATTTGGGAAAATAATTTGACCACATACTCCACAATGGGCTATACCATTTAATATAGTTCATTACTAATTTTGTGGCCTACATTACATCTCAATTTTTCTGAATTCAGATTATAACATAACATGCACTGTTGTATTTCAGGCTCGTGGAATTGATGTGCAACAAGTGTCTTTGGTTATAAACTATGACCTACCTACCAATCGTGAAAACTATATTCACAGGTGAGAAGACAGCATCTTAAACCTATTTGAATTGGTGAAATAAATTCAATGTGTTGGTTTCCTACTATGATTTGTATGACAGGTGATATCAAATCAGGGATAGATTAGTAGGACAGTAATTTTAGTGAGATGTACCTAAAGTTGTCCTTGGGAAGACTGCTCAGAGCAATGTGGGAAAACATGTAAATGTTGGTCAGATTGGTTATACACACAGAATAGGTTGCTTTAGATCTCTTGGTGTTTTGTTTGAACTTTTAGTGATCTTGTGTCCATGTGCTTTTTCTTGGTGATTTCTATAGTTGGGATTTTCTTGGTGTTGCTGGTAGCATTTTGAGTGATCCCTGGTTTAGTTATAGTGGCTTTATCCCTAAATAAATTGAATTGTACTTTGTTATATGATGTAAAAAAAGACTTTTTAAAAAATACAGGAGTCGATAGCACCAGTTGATGACGAGATGGCACTCAGAAACGGCGTTGACGTAATTTAGGACGTGGATTCATAAGCGAAACAGCACACTGTTTGAATAAAGAGCGAGTCGGTATTTATATTTGTTTTTCTTTTGTCATGATTATTTGATATTTTAAGTTGTTCCAGCCAAGGCATTTTGTATGTTAGCATTTCTTAGGGAGCATTAGGTGGTTTGTATTGTCTGGTTTCTATAGGAAGGTAGAGAGCTGTTTTGGAGGTAACACGTTTTGAGTAATTGAGTATACAACGTGTGAAACTGAACAAAAAAAGCAGTGATGAGTTTGGGTTTACCCTGCCAAATTTGTTTTCCCACTGGAAAAGTTGTCAGGTTTTAGAAAATAGTTAACCTACAGCATTTTGTATTTACAGTTTACAGTTCCAGAAGTGCGTCGAGTGGATTACATAACTGTTCTCTTTTATCCCTGGTGTTTACATCTGTCCCAGGCTGACTACTGCTCTTGGCTGGCCCACTTTGGTATGGGCTTTAATTTCACTACCCCAAACACAATACTGCCATCTGCTTTATTATAATTAATGCTCAAGGCGCCTGATAAAAATCTCATTTTTGCAGCCAGACAAGCCTTGAATCCTTTTGGCACTAACTGCAAAGGAAGATTTTTTTTCCTCTATGTATTGATTTTAGCAGCTAATGCTCCAATTAGAAGCACGATCTATAACCTTGATAAGTAAACAGCAGCTGATGGTTAACAAGTGGATCATCATGTTCAATAAGTTCATAAAACATTTAAGAAGTAATGTTCTTCTGATTGCCCTTTTCTTTCTCTTATACAGAATTGGCAGAGGGGGTCGATTTGGGAGGAAAGGTGTGGCTATAAACTTTGTTACTGAAGAAGACAAGAGGATTCTTCGTGACATTGAGACTTTCTACAATACTACAGTGGAGGAGATGCCCATGAATGTGGCTGACCTTATTTAATTCCTGGGATGAGAGTTTTGAATGCAGTGCTCGCTGTTGCTGAATAGGCGACCACAACGTGCATTGTGCTTCTTTGGGAATATTTGAATCTTGTCTCAATGCTCATTACGGATCAGAAATACAGATTTTGATAGCAAAGCGACATTAGTCGTGAGCTCTGTGAGGAAAGTCCTTGGCTTCATCCTCTTTAGAGTTAGACTGTTGGGGTGGGTATAAAAGATGGGGTCTGTAAAATCTTTCTTTCTTAGAAATTTATTTCCTAGTTATGTAGAAATGGTTGTATTAGATGTTCTCTATCATTTAATAATATACTTGTGGACTAAAAGATATAAGTGCTGTATAAAATCGGCCAATTATGTTAAACTAGCATATCTGCCTTTACTGTGTTTCTCAGCCTGAATAGAAAGGCCTTTAAAATTGATTTTTTTAGAAAGCATTTGAATGCAGTTTGTTTGGTATTGTATTTATTCAATTAGTGCTAAGTGTGAAATGGACCCTGTTGCTAAACCCCAGCAAGCAATCATATCCTAGGTAGGGTTAAACTCCCAGTAAAATTGCCATATTGCACATGTCTTAATGAAGTTTGAATGTTAAATAAATTGTATATTCACTTTAAAAATGAAGCTTTCATTTTATTTGCATTTTAAGCAGTTGTACAAAGGGGGGTTTTTATAAACCAGGTGACTAGCGCCAACTCAGCAATTCTGAGTCAGTTGTTGCATTAGAGTTGCACAAAGGCTAATGAGCTGCAGGTGTTCATCAGCACCATCGGCTAAGCATTTATCCACATCCTATAAGGAAATAAGTATAAAGATTACTAGTCACAAGGAAATACGGTAAAGATGACTAAAGTAGTAATATGCATACTCACAGCAAGCTTTTCTGTAATTATCGATTTTTGTTTATCAGAAAGGTGGTCATTCTCTACAATTACATCATGAAGTTGATTCACAAGTTGGGTTGCTGCATGGCCATCATCTATTAAGTCCTGATAAAATAAAGTTGGGAGAGTTTGGTATGATTTTAATTACAAAAAGTTTACAAAGCAGATACAAATGTAAAATATTACCTTTATCACAGCTTCTAGTTTATCAAAAGACCCACTCTGACAAGCAGCAACTATCCCATTGATGGTTTCAGCTGGTATTACCTAAAAAGTGTTGGAGAACATTCTATGAATCCCTTTGTAGAGTTAGGAATATGGAAAAGGAGGCTACATTGGGCTTGCCATTTTCCTAAAACAAGGCTTCCTAGTGCACATCACTTGTAGTACCCTTTGTACCTCATGAATAAAGTTCTGAATAACTACAGAAAGGCTTAGTGGCCATCCCAACTTATTTCAACCTCCAGAGTAGCTAGGATTACAAGCAGGATCCACCAGTGCCCGGCAAAGTTTTAAAAGAACTGACAAGTGATCTAGAGAGCAGAGCATAGGGGGCTCTGGTTGAAGGTGTGGCAGGCTCACTTCTGGCCACAGTAGAAACAACTGAAAGTGAAGGTTGCAGCCCCAGGTGGAGTTAAGAAATCTGGCAAAAGCTGTTCCTTGTCCCTGAGATGGAACAAGATGGTAACTGGGATTATCAAGATTAAATTTTTTTTTTGTCTTGGGGTTTAAACTCTGGGCCTTGGGTGCTATCCCTCCCTCAGCTCTTCAGCTCAATACAAGCATTCTACCACTTAAGTCACAATGCCACTTCCAGTTTTCTAAGTGTTTTTATTAGCATATCAGACTTTCCTCCCAGGCTGGCTTTGAACCGGGATCCTCAGATAGCAGCCTCCTGAGTAGCTAGGATTATTTGCATTAGCCACTGGTGCCCAGCTAATTTTTGTAATTATTCTCTTATTAGACTTGTTATTAGGCTATGTTATTTGTTGGTTTGAATTTTTCTATAAGGCAAAAAAGTCCAACTAGAATTTCAAAGTAATAATACTCTTACCCCAGCAATGTCTGTAATCACTTTTTCCACGACCTCATTTCCACCTGTTAATCGAGTAGCACTTTGAAGAAATGTAATAGCTTTCCTTAAGTCTCCTTCTGATATTTTAACAAGATAAGCTATTTCCTGAAGAGGGAAAGAGTTATTTTTTAAACTTGAAAGGGTGAATTAAAACTTTTAAACAAAAATCAATGTTAGTGGACAAATAACATATTTGTTTGGGGGAGAATTAATTCTATAAAAGCAGAATTTAATGGAGATAGCACTGTCCAAATGGAAGGATAGCAGTATTTTGCTTTTGTAAGAAGCTGGCAGAGATAAAAAGTTCATTATGTTTTCTGGGTCATATAAAATGAACAAAGAAAATTAATGTTAAGTTCTGTTGTAATAAAGGGCTATATAATATTGAAAGAATTATTAGTTACTAAAAACTTGTCATTATGCAGAGACTGGCTGAAAATTGCCGTAAGAACAGTAAGTAATATATATTTAATATTTTCAGGACCTCATGTGCATCCACTAAAGGAAGGAATTAGTTACAGTAACCAATAACTAGCAATTACCTCACTGCTAATTTTGACATTTTCCTTCTCAGCAATTTCTAGTAACCGCTGCTGTTGAATTTTGTCTGACAGAGGTTTGAAGCGGAATTTTGAACATCTAGAGGTCAAGGGTTCAATAATTCTGAGAAAAAAAAAAGGGCAAAACATTGGTGTCTAAGTCAACATCTGATGGTGGAATTAATGAAGCACTGAAAAATTTGTGTATTTTTCTGGATGTAACTGGGATTATCCAGAACAGGAAAGAAGAGTCTGAATGTTTTTAAAACAAGTGAGTGTCTGAGGTGATGTGTCAGTTATTCTGATCTGATTATTATACATATGTAAAAATGTTGCATGGTACCCCATGAATATATATAATTATGTGCTAATTTTAAAAACCAGATGTAGCACGTACACGCTTGTAATTTAGTTGTAATTTAGCGCTAAGAAGGCTGAAGTAGGAAGGTTATAATTTCTGTCAGCATAGGACACATGGCTGAGACCCTCTCAAGAACAACTACAAAGAAGGCTGCCTAGCATCTACTATCTTTAAAGCAATATACATACCGACTGACATAGTTACAGATGAGACAGAATCGGGTTGTTTTGGACTCTTTCTCCATGGTACGCCTTAAAGCTGCTTGAGCAGCTGAGGTCATAGAATCTGCTTCATCCAAAATTACAATCTTAAAAGGAGGACATGGTTTCCCACTAATGCAGAGAAACAAAGGAGCTGAAGATTAATACATAGTGTTCACTAACAGCTTTGCTGAGATAAAACACAATGCAATTTACCTACTTACGGTGTACAACAAAATATTTTTTCAGTAGTCTCCACTTAACATTCTGTAGAGAAATGTTCCAAGAACATTAGAGGATGCTTGAAATTTAAGTGTATATGCGCACGCGCACGTGTGTGCGCACACACATACACAAATATACAATATACTTACATAGTTACAGATGAAGCAACTGGGTTATACATACACATGAATATGTATATATACATACAAGATTTTCCTGTTAGATATACTTAAATTTAACTTATAGGAGCTGGGAAGGTGGCTCAGTGGTAGAGTGCTTGCCTTATATGCATGAGGCCCTGGGTTTGATTCCTCAGCACCACATAAGCAGAAAAAGCTGGAAGTAGGGCTGAGGCTCAAGTGGTAGAGTGCTAGTCTACAGCTGAAGAGCTGAGGGACAGCGCCCAGGCCAAGTTCAGGCCCACGACCAACAAAACAAAACAAAAAACAAATTAGGCATAGTAAGATTAGCAATAACCTAAAAAAATTGAATCACAGTAATATGTAGTAATAAAATTGCCAAGTCAGGCAGGCGCTGGTGGCTCACATCTATGACCCTAGCTAGCTACTCAGGAGGCTGAGATATGAGGATCCCGGTTCAAAGCCAGCCCAGGCAGGAAAGTCCATGAGACTTTTATCTTCAATTAACAACCAGAAAACCAGAAGTGGTGCTGTGGCTCAAGTGGTAAAGCATTAGCCTTGAGCTGAAAAGCTGATGGACAGTGCCCAGGTCCAGAGTTCAAGCCCCACAACTGACAAAAAAAAAATAATATTGCCAACTCATTAATCTTGTGCTTTGGGGCTATTACAAAATAAAATGGTTATTTAGAATACAAACCATGAAATACTGACACTGATTTGGTAACAGAGACAGCTACTAAGAGACAAATGAATCATTTGTGCCAGATGGGAAAGGAGATTTCATCATACTCTGAATGATATTAATTGAAAAATTAAGACTGATAGAATTTTTAATATTTTTACACCATAGGTAACTATGGGTATTAACATCACAGAAAGTAAAAGAGCATATAAGGTAGAGAGGGGGAACTACATATTCAAGAATTGTGCAACCATCATTCCAGGCTAATTTTAGAACTGTTTTATTACCTCAAAAAGAAACCCTATGCCTGTTAGGAATTACTCTTTCCCCCACATCTCCCAGCCTAGGCAGTCACTATCTCCTTCCTGTCTCTAGGTTTACCCATTCTAATCGTATAAATCGTGAATCATGTAATGCATAGCTTTTGTTTACCACCAACTCTCAAATTATTCTGTCTCCTGAATATGAGATTATGGGTATGCACCACCATGCCTGGGTTGATCAAGTGGTCTTTTATCCCAATCTTTATTTTGCATAGGAGGAAACAGGGTGCTATAGAAGTTGTGAGTACAGAATCAATTCAAGGTGGACATTAAAAAAATACATACACACAAAAACTAGTTAGGTCACTGAAACTGGACTTCTATTTCTCATTCATACAAAAATCAATTCCAGGTGGATCAAAGAACTCAAAGACTGAAAAATTTAAATCTATTAAAGGAAAAATGTAGTAAAACCCTGGAAGATATAGGCACAGGTAAATACAACTCCAGTTGCCCTTAACAAATGGGACATTAGTTTCTGCAAAGCAAAATAAACACAGAATGGGAGGAAATCTTGCCAGTTATTCAACGTAGAGGACTAATATCCAGCATATAGAGTTCAAAAAGTGAAAATGCAATCCAATTAATAAACAGGCAATTGAACCAAACAGTTTTCAGAAGAAATACAATTGGCTAATACAGTTAACATGTGGAAATGACAGTTTTTCACATTCAATAAATTTTGAAGTGTTCTCAGTTGTAAAATTTAAATATATGTTCAGATATCAAAATTTTAATCTTAGAGCTTTGCCACTTAAGGAATGTAATTGACTAAATTCCTATTACCTTTAGGGAAGACAATCTTGTTTTAATTATTATTATTTTTTTTTGGGGGGGGGGCCCTGAACTCTGGGCCTGGGTGCTGTCCCTCAGCTCTTCAGCTCAAGGCTAGCACTATACCACTTGAGCCACAGCGCCACTTCCGGCTTTTTTCTTTTTATGTGGTGCTGAGGAATCGAACCCAGGGCCTTGAGCATGCAAAGCAAGCGCTCTACCACTGAGCCACCTTCCCAGCCCTCTTGTTTTAATTATTTAAAAATTATTTAAATATTTTATTGTTTAGTTATTAATACTATTTATTTATTTTTGCCAGTCCTGGGGCTTGAAGTGCTCTACCACTAAGCTATATTCTCAGCCCTAGTAATACTATTTTTCACTCTAAAATTATCTAAGTTTGGATCCAAACTATAAAATATATGCTAAAACTTAAGATACTTGAGAGACTGGGCACTGATGGTTCATATCAGTTACCCTAGCTTCTCAGGTGGCTGAGATCTGAGTATCACAGTTTGAAGTCAGCCTGGACAAGAATGTCTGTGAGATTCTACTCTTTTGTTTTTCGTTTTGTTGGTCATAGGGTTTGACCTCAGGCCCTGAGCAATGTCCCTGAGCTCTTTTACTCTAGGCTAGTAGTAATCAACCATTTTGAGTCACAGCGCCACTTCCAATTTTCTGGTGGTTAATTGGAGGTAAGTCTCATGGACTTCTTGCCTGGGCTAGCTTTGAATAGTGATCCTGAGTAGCTAGGATTATGGGTGTGCACCATTATGCACAGCTTGTAAGACTTTTATTTCCAAAAAATTACATGCATACCACCAGACAATTTATTAAATACCCTTGAAAACTTACTAACTTGAAACTATTACATACAATCAAATGGTCATTTCAACATCTCTGTAATTTAGATATAAGTATGATCCAGCATAAAAAAGGAATTGAGCTAGGCACTGGTGGCTCATGCATGTAATCCTGGCCTGAGGAGGCTGAAAGCTGAGGATTGAGATTTGAAACCAGCTCAGGCAGTTAAGTCTGTGAGACTCTTATCTCCAATTAACTCCCCCAAGAAGCCAAAATGAAGGGTTGTATATGCTGAGGGCATACTTCGGACATAGCAGATAGCATCGTCTGGAAAGACAGAGCAAGCCTGACAAGACTTAATAAGGCCACTAGAGGGCTCTACCCTCATGATTTCTAGTTATCTTCCAAGGTCTCACCTCCAAATACCATTCCTGTGAATTTAGGGATGAACTTTCTAACACTTTTAACTTTTCAGAGGATATAGTCAATGTACAGCCCTTATTTAAAACAAAGATAATGACCAACATTATGGAAAAGTAAGGTTTACTTACTCTGAACGACTTCCTGACACAGTTAATTGAGCAAAAGTTTTCACTTTCTCTCGTACTACTTGTATTCCACGTTCATCAGATGCATTTAACTCAAGAACTCTTAATCGAAACAGTTCAGGACTATTTAAAAATGAAAAAGATACATGAAACCACACAGCATACAAGTAACCCAGGCATAACTTGAATACACTTAACATGTTATATACTTTATATGGTACATGGTTAATATTTTGGCATTTTTCATTAATGAAAAAGTGTAACTACTTCATATATGTCAAACTTTTGTATAATAAATATCTTGTCATGTTAACAAAACTACTGTAATATATATTTCTTAATTTAACATTAGACATTGAAGTAATGTTAAATATGTTACAACTTAGCACATTTTGAGTGTTTCTAGAAGGCAGCTTGCTATAAAGAAAATTAGTCTATTAAAACATGATTCTTTGTTATTTTTGTTTTGTTTTCTTTGTCTTATTTGTTGGTTTATCTGTCTTTGGGAGGGTAAGAGAGAAATGGAGGAACAAAGGGTGAAGAAATACAGCAGTGGTACTCAATAGATACTATGCTGAAAATGAACTATATAACTTATAGGCGGAGACTGGAGGAAGTAGGAGTGAGGGGTCCAAAAAGAAATGTACTTTTTATTTTATAATTTTTATTGTAAAGGTGATGTACAAAGGGGTTACAGTTATACAAGTCAGGTAATGAGTACATTCTCTTCTGAACAATGTCATTCCCTCTAGTTTTCCCCTCCTGACTTCCCTACTTCCCAAGATGCATACAGAAATGGTGGGACAATTGGGTGGGGGGGTGGGGGGGGGGGAGGATGGGAAGGGATGGGAAGGGCAAACAAAGGAGGAGGCTACAATGCTTGATAAGAAATGCACTCATGGGGCTGGGAAGGTGGCTCAGTGGTAGAGCGCTTGCGTTGCATGCCTGAGGCCCTGGGTTTGATTCCTCAGCACCACATAAGCAAAAAGAAAAAAGCTGGAAGTGGCGCTGTGGCTCAAGTGGTAGAGCGTTAGCCTTGAGCTGAAGAGCTGAGGGACAGCGCCCAGGCCTAGAGTTCAGGCCCCACGACCGACCCCCCCCCCCCAAAAAAAAGAAATGTACTCATTATCTTGCCCATGTAATTGTAACCCCTCTAGTATTTTCACAATTAAAAAAAAAAAAAGAAAAGAAATGGTGGGACAAAGGGTGAATCAATACAACGGTGAAACCCACTAGATACTATGTTGGAAATAAAACTATTAACTAAGAAATGTACTGTTTATCTGACTTATGTAACTGTAATCCCTCTGTTTATAACCTTTATAATGATAAAATGATAAAAATTAAACAATAAAAAATTAAACAAACAGTGGTGTGGTTTTCTTATTTTTGTTTTTTGGTGCCAGTCCTGGGGCTTGAACTCAGGGCATAGATGCTGTCCCTGAGCTTTTCTGCTCAAGGCTAGCACTCTACCACTTGAGCCACAGCTCCATTTCTGACCTTTTGGTGATCAACTGGAGATAAAAGTGTCATGGGTTTCCCTCCCCAGGCTGGCTTTGAACTGCAATCCTGAGAGACACTAGTGCTTGGCCTTTCTTTTTTTTTCGGGGCGGGGGGGGGGGGGGCATGCTGGGGAATCAGGCTTTGCACATGCACTTTTATCACTGAACTGTATAGCCCCCCTAAATCACTAAAAGTAACACTCACTGTAGAAAAAGAAAATGAAATATTAATTTCCTAAACAGTTTTAATACTTTCCTCTAGTCTTTCTTCAGAGTATTTTTAAAATTAAAAACAAAAAAATCCTACTAACTGAGGCCATAGTTCAATGATACAATGAATGATTCCCATGTGGGAGGCCCTGGGCTCAATATTGCAACACCAACCTCAACTACCTCAATCCCTAAAAAAAAAGAAACTTCACGAGATAGTTGTTTTGGCCTGGGAATGTGGCTTAGTGGTAGAGTGATTGCCTAGCATGCATGAAGCCCTGGGTTCAATTCCTCAGCACCACATACACAGAAAAAGTTGTAAGTGCACTGTGGATCAAGTGGTAGAGCTCTAGCCTTGATCACAGAGAGGCTCAGGGATACAGCATACTTCCAGATTGGTTCAAGCCCAATGACTGGCAAAAACAACAACAACAAAAAACAAGATAGGGCTGGGAAGGTGGCTCAGTGGTAGAGTGCTTGCCTTGCATACATGAGGCCCTGGGTTCGATTCCTCAGCACCACATAAGCAGAAACAGCCGGAAGTAGTGCTATGGCTCAAGTGGTAGAGCACCAGCCTTGAGCTGAAGACCTGAGGGACAGTGCCCAGGACCAGAGTTCAGGCCCCACGACCGACCAAAATAAAAAACAAAACAAACAAAAACTAAGATAGTTGTTTCTATTTAACACTTCTCCTTCCTTCCTTTTCTCCCTCCCTCTCTCTTATCATTCCTTTCTTCCCTTTATTTTTTGTCATGAGGCTTGAACTCAGGGTCTGGGTGCTATTCCTGAGCTCTTTGGCTCAAGGCTACTGCTCGACCACTTTGAGCCACAGCAGCACTTCGTTTTCTGGTGGTCAAATGGAGATAAGAGTCTCACAGACTTTCCTGCCTGAGGTGGCTTCAAACCAAAGTCCTGACTTCAGCCTCCTGAGTGGCTAGGATTAGAGGTGTCAGCCATTGGTGTCCAGCTTAATTTTTCCTAATTAGGAAAATATTCTATGGATATAAATATTAGGAAATTCTGTGAATATGTTCTATTTGAAACTACATATATAATTAAATATGAAACCTAGAATTAAAAGTTTTTTTGTTGTTTAGTTCTTTTTTTTTTCCTCTTTTTTTTTTTGTTTTTTTTGGGTCCGGTTGTGGGGCCTGAACTCTGGGCCTGGGCGCTGTCCCTCAGCTCTTCAGCTCAAGGCTAGCGCTCTATCACTTGAGCCACAGCACCACTTCCGGCTTTTTTCTTTTTTGCTTATGTGGTGCTGAGGAATCGAACCCAGGGCCTTGAGCATGCAAGGCAAGCGCTCTACCACTGAGCCACCTTCCCAGCCCTGTTGTTTAGTTCTTTAAGGATTTTTTTTTTCCTTTTCTTTTTTGGGTAAGGTCTTATAATGTATCGAAATTTGGCATGGAATTATATAGCTCTTGCCTCACTATCCAGAATCTGAGATTATAGGCATGAACCAGCATGACTAGCTATAAGCTTTATCTTTTTATAAAGAATATGTAAGAATTATATATTGAGGATTGACCTACTCTGGATAAAATAACAAAGTACTTAATGGTTTCATTACGAGTACACTGCTAAGGTTGCCTCAGTTTGAATCTGTCTTAGTGGGGGAATAATCAAAAACCCGAATAAAAGTTGCTATTACACGAAACACATAAGGTCTATATGCAGCTTTTCCTTTTCTTTTCTTTTTTGCAAGTCCTGGGGCCTGAACTCAGAGTCTTGGCACTGTCCTTGAGATTCTTTTGCTCAAGGCTAGCATTCTACCATCTGAGCCACAGCAACACTGGGCTTTCTCTGTTTATGTGGTACTGAGGAACTGAACCCAGGGCTTCATGCATGCTAGGTAAGCAGTCTATCACTAAGCCATATTCCCAGCCCTCAGCCTTTTCTTTCTTTCTTTTTTTTGTTAACAAAGAAGCAATTTTATTGAGAAGGTTCCTACACTGGCTGGCTGGGGCCTCAGCACAGGCTTGGAGCTGAGACTGCGACCCTGAGCGGCCCCCTCAGCCCTTTCTTTTATGTGTTTTGTTTTGAAGTGCTGGGGATTTTTCATGTCAAGTCTTTAAAAGGACAGGTTAGTAAGTGGTGCTGTGACTCAAGTGGTAGAGAGCTTGCCTTCAGCTGAAGAGCTCAATGACAGTGCCTAGGCCCAGAGTTGGTTTTTTTGTTTTTTTGTCGGTCATGGGGCTTGAACTCTGGGCTTGGACGCTGTCCCTCAGCTCTTCAGCTCAAGGCGAGTGCTCTACCGACTTGAGTTACAGCGCCAGTTCCGGTTTTCTAGTGGTTTATTGGAGATAAGAGTCTCACGGACTTTCCTGGCTGGGTTGGCTTTGAACCATGATCCTTAGATCTCAGCCTCCTGAGTAGCTAGGATTACAGGCGTGCGCCACTGGCAACCGGCTGGCCCAGAGTTCTTTAAAAATAAAGTGAATTGACAGATTAATAGATTTCAACTTACCCAAACAGTTCTCTAGCTGCTGCCAAAATAGTAGACGTTTTACCAGTTCCAGGTGGCCCATAAAATAAGAGATTGGGGAGCTGTGGGAATTAAATTTAAATTTTTATAAATTGAATTCTGGCACAAGTATCTGTGGAATGGGAACTGGAGGCTCAAGTGGTAGAGTGTTGGCCAGAAGCCCAAATGTCAAATGAGAACTTGAGGTCTTGATTTCAAACCTTAGTACCAGCACAACAGAGGGAGATGCACAACTACTATGTCTGTGGAATGATATAGAAACTTCCTTAACAAGAAGAATTAAGTCAAAACAAACACTCGTTAGGAAAAGGATTTTAAACTGTTTTGTAACTGTAACTTTTTTTCAAACACACACTGTGGAACAGGCCAATACAAAATCTAAATCCAAAATGCTCCACAACTGAAAAAAAAATTTTTTTTTGTTCTAGTTCTGGGGCTTGAACTCAGGGCCTGGGCACTGTCCCTGAGCTTTGTTTCCCCCCGCTCAAGACTAATGCTCTATCACTTGAACTACAGCTCCACTTCTAGCTTTTTTGTGGCTTAATTGGAGATAAGAGTCTCAAGCTTTGCTGCCTGGACTGGCTTGGAACTTCAAGCCTCAGATCTCAGTCTTCTGAGTAGCTAGGATTACAAGTGTGAGCCACTGGCGCCTGGCTCAGAACTTTTTTTTTGTCAGTTGTGGGGCCTGAACTCAGGGCCTGGGCGTTGTCCCTCAGCTCTTCTGCTCACTTGAGCCACTGCGCCACTTCCGGTTTTTTCTGCTTATGTGGTGTTGAGGAAATTGAACCCAGGACCTCATGCATATAAGGCAAGCACTCTACCACTGAGCCACCTTCCCAGCACAGCTCAGAACTTTTTGAGTACTAGTGTGACTGTGATACTATAAGTACTTACTCTGAACACATTTTCTCATGATATTAATGGAATTTCCTCTATATGTAAATATATACACACATATACATATTCATACATATACACAAATAATTAGTAGCAGGGTTTGAACTCAATGCCTAGCACTCTCATTTGGCTTGCTTGCTCACCATACATACACAAGCGTGCACGCGCATGTGCGTGTGCACGCACGCACGCACGCACGCACGCACGCACACACACACACACACACACACACACACACAAATGTTAGGATTTGGATCCTAAACATGCTCCAAAGGCCTATAAGCTAAAGCTAAAGGCATGGTCACCAGTCTATGGCACTACTGGGAAGTGACAATACTTTTAGGAATCAGGGCCTACTGGAAAGAAGTTAGGTCATTGAAGGTGTGCCTTTGAAGGGGACATTGGGATACTGGCTCCCCTCTTTTCCCTTTTTTATTTCCTGGTTGTTATCAGTCAAGCTGCTTTGCTATGCCTTAAGGTCTCCAAAGCATCCAAGTGACCATGGATTAGAATCTCTGAAACAAAGAGTGAAAATAAATTTTTCTCCTTTCATGTTATCTAAGGACATGTTTTGTCACAGCCATGGAGAGCTAACAAAGTAAATATTCCTAAATCTCAAATTCAAAAATCTTTGGTTCTTGGATAAAGGATACTGAATATATTGTAAATACATTAAGATAATAAAATCCCAAACCGAAAGAATATCCAATTAAAAGCTGCCAGATTTAAGGAAGCAAATCTGGAGCATAAAGCAAAAGCCATATCCCACTTTGACCTTACTGAGCACTTAAAGCACTTGGAAGGACTGGGACATAGCTTAAGTGGTACAGTGTTTGCCTAGCATGCTCTAGATCCTACCTCAGTACACACTTACATAAACAAACAACATGAATAAAACATTACCAATTAAAATTGGTATTGCTTCACCTGGGTTTTGTTTATCTTGTCTCTTAATAATCGAAAACACAAGTTACTAAAGGATATTTTTATCCTATATATCCTAGCAGAGGATAACCGTGTTTTAAGCAGAATTAAAAAGTTCAATGCTTTTATTTATTTATTTTTTGGTCGGTCATGGGGCTTGAACTCTGGGCTTGGGTGCTGCCCCTGTGCTCTTCAGCTCAAGGCGAGTGCTCTACAGCTTGAGCCACAGCTCCACTTCCAGTTTTCTAGTGGTTTATTGGAGATTACAGTCTCACGGATTTTCCTGCCTGGGCTGGCTTTGAACCGAGAGTCTCAGATCTCAGCTTCCTGAGTAGTTAGGATTACAGGCATGAGCCACTGGTGCCCAGCTCAATGCTTTTAAAAAGAAATCCTAAAGTTAGGTGAACAATTACACTTTCAAAACATCTTTATAATACATATTGATTATTATTTGGTTTACTTGTTTAGTCTATCTCTCCTCACCAGAATAAAAGTATCTGTCTTGTTAACTGATCTTTAATACTATTTAACAATGGCACATAGGATTAAAGCCTCATTAAATAGTTATTGAACTAATTATACAACTAATATTAAGGACTCATTGGGTATATAGAAGATTACCAAGGAAAAGGGTGAATAAAAGACTTAAATTATAAATCTCCAAATGGCACTGAACACTGCTACTCACATCAGCTCCTTCTAAAGACTTTTTCAGCACTGCAACTACTTCTTCCTGGAAAGCAACTTCATCCACACATTTTGGGCGACTGGGGATGAAAGGGAGAAAGATTATTTAGTATACTATGGTACTACATAAGCAGAAAAAGCTAGAAGTGGCACTGTGGCTCAAGTGGTAGAGTGCTAGCCTTGAGCAATAGAAGCTCAGGAACAGTGTCCAGGCCCTGAGTTCAAGGCCCAGGACTGGAAAAACAACAACAACAACAACAATAACAAACAAAAGTCTCAAATGTTCCTTTTGCTAAAGTATCATTAACAACTGTTATATATTGATGGAATGAAAAACATGTTTTATGATTGAAGTAGATGGAAACTTTATTTGTATTTAGGGAAATCTGAACTGATGGAATAAAACACTATCTATTTCCCATCTACACTGCTTGAACAAGAAAAAACGTGCAAGAGTTTCATTAGCAACACTTGCTAACCAAGCAAGTTTATTTCTTTTTTTCTTTTTTTTTGGGGTCCGGTCATGGGGCCTGAACTCTGGGCCTGGGCGCTGTCCCTCAGCTCTTCAGCTCAAGGCTAGCGCTCTACCACTTGAGCCACAGCGCCACTTCCGGCTTTTTTTCTTTTTGCTTATGTGGTGCTGAGGAATCGAACCCAGGGCCTCATGCATGCAAGGTAAGCGCTCTACCACTGAGCCACCTTCCCAGCCCAAGCAAGTTTATTTCTTATGTAAATACTTGCTTAGCAAGTAGTATCATATACTAACAAAATAATGAACCTCAGCTGATAAGAGAAAAATATTTAATAATTTAATGAGGGGAAATGATTGTTAGTATATACTTAATTTATATTAAGTGGACACCAGTGGCTCACATCTATAATTCTCGTGACTTAGAAGGCTGAGATCTGAGAATTCTGGTTTAAAGCCAGTCTGAGCAGAAAAGTCCATGACTCATAACTCCAATTCACCAACAAAGCCAGAACTTGGAGGTGTGGCTCAAATGGTAGAGTACCAGCTTTGAGCAAAATGCCAGAGTAAGAGCCCCAGTACTGGCACACACACAAAAATAAACAAAGAATAGGAAAAACAAACAAACCCCAAACCGTAGTTAATATCAATTCTAAATTTTTTATACCAAAACAAAAACCTTAAAAGACCTTAAAAGAGTCACTAAACTGAGGTAGGAAAGTACTAAGCTTAACCAGTATGAAACACAATTATATAATTTTCATCGTACATCATTAGTAACTTAATATTAAAGTGACAAAGGTTATACTCCCAAACCTGAGATCAACCTACCTTTCTTTTTTTTTCTGGTCTGGTCGTGGGGCCTGAACTCTGGGCGTGGGCACTGTCCCTCAGCTCTTCAGCTCAAGGCTAGCGCTCTACCACTTGAGCCACATACCACTTCTGGCTTTTTTTCCCCCTGCTTATGTGGTGCTGAGGAATCGAACCCAGGGCCTCATGCATGCAAGGCAAGCACTCTACCACTGAGACACCTTCCCAGCCCCAACCTTTCTTCTTAAATAATCAAAACCTAAGATTTTCAAATAAGCACTTGGTAGTACCAGACAAAACATGAGGGCCCGCAAACCCTTTCTAATAACTTTTCCATTCAGTGATATCTGATTATTACAATTACTTGTAATAGTTTAGCTGATCCCAAAGTGCTATTCAAGTGTCATTTTGGTAAAAATGTAAAAATAAATGAAACCTAAGAATTTTCATCTTTTAGTAATAGGAAACAGATTATTACTTATACTCAACTCAACTTACAGAAACTTTTTTTTCACATCTTTGAAACTGTAGGCTTCAGTTACTGAGTTCATTTACAAAATAAGGGAATAAAATCAGGTCTCTGTAAGGTACCTTTCAATTCCAAGGTTCTAGGATTTCAGTAATTGGTTGATTTTCAAGGATAGCATGTAAATAAAGTAAATAATAAGTCCCTCTTACATTAAAAAAATAAAAGATCAGAAATGGGAATTGGTTATTTCAGCAAAAAAACCATTGTTCTTACTATTTTTCCACCCATGGAACAGGTTTGACTTTCTTGTTTTCTCCACTGCTTCCTGCAGTGGCAGCTATTCCTCGATCTTTGGTCAATGGTGGTTTAGTACTGATAGATGTGCCTTTTAGAAATGCCTGCATGGTTTCTTTCCTATTAAAAAAAAAAAAGTTTTTTAAAACCATTAAGAAACTCTACTGGAAAGTACAATTAACCTTACACAAAAACATCCACAACAGCTGGGCACCAGTGGCTCATGCCTGTAATCCTAGCAACTCAGGAGGCTGAGATCTGAGGATTGAGGTTTAAAGCCAGCCCTGTCAGGAAAGTCTGTGAGACTGTAATATCCAATAAACCACTCGAAAACTGGAAATGAAGCTGTGGCTCAAGTGGTACAGTGCTCGCCTTGAGCTGAAGAGCACAGGGACAATGCCCAAGCCCAGAGTTCAAGCCCCACGACCAACTCCCCAAAAAATAAAAATAAAAAAAATCCACCATTACTTAATGAAGGACATCATTCCACAACCTAAGATGCCCTAGAGGACGCACGTATTAGGGGCCAGGGAAGGAATTATGAACAAACATAAATCACATGCCAGGAAGTTGTTTTTGTTTTTGGTCTGGGGTTGAACTCTGGGTCTAGTCCCTGTCCCCCAGCGTTTTTGCTCAAGGGGAGTGCTCTACCACTTGCGCCACAATTTCATGAGCTTTCCTGCCCTGGTTGGCTTTTTGCAATCCTCATGAATAGCTAGGATTACAGGTGTAAGCCTTGGGTACCTGGCTCATAAAGATTCTTAAAGGGTTCCAAAACCATCAATAAATGTTTGTTTTTTGTTTTTTTTTGGGTCCGGTCGTGGGGCCTGAACTCTGGGCCTGGGTGCTGTCCCTCAGCTCTTTAGCTCAAGGCTAGCACTCTACCACTTGAGCCACAGTGCCACTTCCGACTTTTTTCTTTTTGCTTATGTGGTGCTGAGGAGTCGAACCCAGGGCCTCATGCATGCAAGGCAAGCACTCTACCACTGAGCCACTTTCCCAGCCCTAAATGTTACTGTGCTACAGAAGTTTTTCTCTAGTCTTTTCCATTCCAGTCATAGGCCCAGCTCTAGCTCAGACCCTGAAATTGGAGACAAGTGGGAGTGGTTGGTCCACATATGAGAACCTTTCCTGGGGCCTCCAGCTCCGTTCATGAGCCTATTTTCTTTGCAAAGCCAGTGCCCACCTTAAGATTTTGAGTGTGATTGTGTGCATGTGTGTGTGTATGTGAAAGAGAAAAGAACAGCCGTTTTTCTAATAGCAAACTCAATGGAAGAAAACAAAACTATGCAAAGAAACAAAAGCAAAACTGATAGATTTATACAGAACACAGTGATTAGCAGTAACATTTAGATAATCATGCGTGCAGGATGTTTTTAGGAGTTAAACACATACACAAAGCCTCATGTGTGAACAACCCTAGCATTCGTGACAATCTGTTCTCCTCACACCTACTATTATACACCCCAGAGTTTAAACCAATGTCAGCTACTTGGTAGATGTGCAATAGTTGGGTGAGTGAATGACCACTTTTGAGACTAGCTTTCCCCCCTCTGCAAAAAAAAAAAAAAAGAGCTAAGGCCTACAGCATGAGGCAATTGAACTAAATAAGATAGCACACCCGGACCTCCGTGCTTGGCGTGTACATATATTCAATAGAACCGTTAATAACCACCACAACAGCAATAGTAGTAATAATAATTGCAAACAAATGGCTTAAGGTGGTAAACGTCAATGGATCTTTTCATCCCTGCCTGCCTTTTGGCCCGAGCTTCGGGTAGGGTGTGAGGGAGGCCGGGCTGGAGCCGCGGCGAGGGCGGGAGGCCTCACGGGGACCCCTGGGTTTGGGAGGGCGACGGCCGGGGCCGATTCTCCTCCTGGATCCCAGCAAACCTGGCTTCCCGCGCGGGGCGGCCGCACGCTGGGCCGCTGAGGCTCCAGCCACTGCGGCGAGCCCGCCTCTAGCTCGCTCTTGAGGTCCCGGGTTGGGGACCCGCAGGGGCGGTGGTGGAGTCTCAGCTCGGTCCCGCAACCCGAGGACAGCCGGCCTAGAGTACTTACGGTACCCGCAGGCGCCTCGGTGGCCGCGTTTCGCGCCACTCGACAGCGGACGCAGGGCATGGCGGGAAAACATCACTTCCGGCGGGCCGCGGGCGCGCCGTGCGTCATTTCCGGCAGGGCTGTCTGTCTGTCCGTCCGTCTGTCTGTCTGTCTGTCGTCTGTCTGTCTGTCTGTCTGTCTGTCTGTCTGTCTGTCTGTCTCTCTCTCTCTCTCTCTCTCCTCCCCCCCCCCCCCCCCGGTGCGTCTTGCAGTGGGGCAGCTTAGCGTGACCCTGGGAGGAGATCCGGGCGGCCCGCCGTGCGCGGAGACCGGGCGCCGGCGTCACCTAAGACGGGCCGGGGCTCCTGTCTCCGCGCACGGCCCCCGCTGGACACCGCGGGCCAAGGACGCCGTGCGGGAGAGGAGCAGGGCGGCGGGGCGGGGCGGGGCCCTGCGGGAGTGGAGCGGGGCGGCGGGGCGGGCGGGGCGGGGCGGGGCGGGGCGGGCGGGCGGGCGGGGCGGGGCGGGGCCCGGCGGGGGGGGGGGAGCGGGGGCGGGCGGGGCGGGCGGGGCGGGGCCCGGCGGGGCGGGGCGGGCGGGCGGGCGGGCGGGGCGGGGCCCGGCGGGGCGGGCGGGGCGGGGCGGCGGGGCGGGGCCCGGCGGGGCGGGCGGGGCGGGGCGGGGCCCGGCGGGGCGGGCGGGGCGGGGGCGGGCGGGGCGGGGCCCGGCGGGGCGGGCGGGGCGGGGGCGGGCGGGGCCCGGCGGGGCCCGGCGGGGGGGGGGGGCGGGGCGGGGCCCGGCGGGGCGGGCGGGGCGGGGCCCGGCGGGGCGGGGCGGGCGGGCGGGCGGGCGGGCGGGGCGGGGCCCGGCGGGGCGGGCGGGGCGGGGCCCGGCGGGGCGGGCGGGGCCGGGGGGCGGGGCCCGGCGGGGGGGGGGGGCGGGGCGGGGCCCGGCGGGGCGGGCGGGGCGGGGCCCGGCGGGGGGGGGGGGCGGGGGCGGGCGGGGCCCGGCGGGGCGGGCGGGGCCCGGCGGGGCGGGGCGGGGCGGCGGGGCGGGGCGGCGGGGCGGGGCGGGCGGCGGGGCGGGGCCCGGCGGGGCGGGGCCCGGCGGGGCGGGGCGGCGGGGCGGGGCGAGGCGGGCGGGGCGGGGCGAGGCGGGCGGGGCGGGGCGGGGCGGCGGGGCGGGCGGGGCGGGGCGGGCGGGGCCCGGCGGGGCGGGGCGGGGCGGCGGGGCCCGGCGGGGCGGGGCGGGGCGGCGGGGCCCGGCGGGGCGGGGCGGGGCGGCGGGGCGGGGCGGGGCGGGGCGGCGGGGCGGGCGGGGCCCGGCGGGGCCCGGCGGGGCGCGGCGGGCGGGGCCGGCAGGCCGGTGCCCAGGCCCTCCGCGAGGTTTGGGGGACCCCGTCTGTAAGCACTGAGAACTCCTCTTCGACCAGGAACGACTCGATTCGGCTGGCAGCGTTTTCGCCCGCCCAAAGGACGGAGGTCGGAGGCCTTGGAGCCGACCCTCCTCCCTGAGCGGGCGCCTCGCCGGCCTCGGCCCCGCCCGGCTGCTAAGCTAGCAGTGTGCTTTCAGGGCAGAGGCATCGGTGTCTTTTCCTTGACCTCTGCGGGGCACGAGACCTGCCTTCGGAGGTGTTGGCCTGTCGGGGAGAGGGAGGGCCGTCCGTACTGCTACGGACACCTTCTTTTTCCCAAGTTCCATTCAGACAGCTAGTGAAGGAGCGCCAGTGCAAAAGAGCCAGCCGCCAGGGTCTGGTGCCTGCAGTCCTACTCACTTGGGAGGCCCAGGTTGAGAGGATCCGTCGGCTCGAGGCCCGGCCTGGCAGACCCCCTACTCAACCCATAGCTGGGCGCGGTGGCGCGCCTGTCATCTCAAGGTACGTGGAGGCTGATTGAGAAGATGGGAAGCCAGGCCATCCCAGGCGAGACTCTTGTCTCCACGGAAGGAAAGTTGGAGGCGGTGACCGGTGACTGTAGTTCCAACGATGTCAGGGATGCCCTTATTAAGCAAATGGCGAACTCAGGTGAGGGGGCAGGGAAGAGCCTATCTTAAAAATAACATGAAAAAATAGGGCTAGACATGTGGTTCATCAGTATTGCACCGGCCTAACAAACTCGTCCTGAGTTCAACCCCACCTCCCTTCTGAGGGAAAAAACAAAAAAGCAAAAGTGATTGATAACCACGTTTGGATCATCTCTTAAGTGGATGACTACAATTTGCTCTGCACAAATGCAGAGTGTGACATTAATTGTTAATGCTCCATGTCTTGGAACAAATGTTTGGTGAATTTTGAAGCACCGTGGTGATATAGCAGGAGACAAATGAGAAGATACTGACAAGTAGCTTTATAGACAGAAAAATTAGGAAAATACGTGAGACTGGGAATGTGGCTTAGTGGTTAGTGGTAGAGTGCTTGTTTAGATGCATGAAGCACTGGGTTTGATTCCTCAGTACCGCATAAACAGAAAAAGCCCAATTGGCATTGTGGCTCTAGTGGTAGAGTGCTATCCTTGAGCACAGAGAGGCTCAGGAACAGAGCCCAGGCCCTGAGTTCAATCCCCACGACCGACAAAAAAAGAGAGATGTGTTATCTAGAGGTAATAGGGAGCTGGGAGACTACATTTTAGGACTAATTAAGGAGTTAACTAGATTCACTAAGGGTGCTCTCTGCTACTTCATGATTATCATAGGCTTGGAGCAGTCTATGGATGGTATGAGGCTCACATCTGGACACTAGTTTTTTTTGTTGTTGTCGGTCGTGGGGCTTGAACTCTGAGCCTGGGCGCTGTCCCTCAGCTCTTCAGCTCAAGACTAACGCTCTACCATTTGAGCTACAGCGCCACTTCTGGTTTTCTGGTGGTTTATTGGAGATGAGTTTCACGGACTTTCCTGCCTGGGCTGGCTTTGAACCACAATCCTCAGTTCTCAGCCTTATGAGTAGCTAGGATTACAGGCGTGAGCCACCATCGCCTGGAATTTAGCAGGCATCTTGATTTTGGACTTCTCGCCTGCAGTAATTTAAGTTTCTGTCCATTATAAAAATTACCCAGTTTCATATGTTCTTTTTTGTTGTTGTTGTTGTCTTTTCTTTTTTGGTACTGGGGATCAAACCCAGGACTTTGCACTTGCTAGGCAAGCGTTTTGTTACTGAGCTACATCCCAGCCCTCATATGTTCTAATGTAGCAGTACAGACTAAGACTCTTTTTTTTCATTGTACTATTCAGTATTCAAAAACATACATTTCTTGCCTGGCGCTGGTGGCTCACGCCTGTAATCCTAGCTACTCAGGAGGCTGAGATCTGAGGATCTCGGTTCAAAGCCAGCCCGGGCAAGAGAGACTGTGAGACTCCTATCTCCAATAAACCACCAGAAAACCGGAAGAGGCGCTGCAGCTCAAGTGGTAGAGCGCTCGCCTTGAGCTGAAGAGCTGAGGGACAGCGCCCAGGCCCAGAGTTAAAGCCCAACGACCGACAAAAAACAAAAACAAAAACAAAAAAAAACCCATACATTTCTTCTAGCAAATAACCCAGTTAGTGGGAGAGGGGAAACTTGACAGGTGCATCCAAACTGAGAATTTTTTTTTTTTTTCTGCTTATGTGGTGCTGAGGAATTGAACCCATGGCCTCATGCATGCAAGGGAAGCAGTCTACCACTGAGTCACCTTCCCAGCCCTACCAAACTGAGAATTTGCTTCACTGCATCTAAAGAACAAATCTGTTACTCAGTTAACATAGTAAACCATATTTGTGAGCCAAGCATATGCTGTGATGGAAAGGAAAAGCATTAAATTTGGATAACAACAAAAACACCAAAATACAAAACGCTGGAACTGAAAAGCCCAGAGTTGGCTAGCCTCTCCCTTTTTCAGCTATGCAGAAGGTCAACTTTACATAACCCATCAGTTGCAGAGCCAGGTCTTCTGAGCAGTTATGAAATGTCACTCATAGTGAGGACTTTAGCAATCCCTCGAGGTCTCCCAGAGAGGGTTATGTGAGTGAAGGAGCCAGGGCCCAGGGCTGGACCCTGTGAGGAAATAAGTTGGATGGGCACAGTACACCCTCAAGGCCATTCAAACAATGAAGGGAAGGTGGTGTCCAAGGTCCCAAGGTTAAGAATGTCAGGAATATCTGCAGTTTATACCTCTCTTAACACTTCTCAAAGCTCTGACATGTGCACATTATCACCTCAGTTTGTTCTTACACCATCCCACACTGGTCTTTCAACCTTGGCATTGATGGATATAATGACTGTACACTGCGTGTTGTGAGAGGACACTGGAAATAAGCAAGGGATTTGTTGTTGGTTGTGGGGCTTGAACTCTGGGCCTGGGTGCTGTCCCTCAACTCTTCAGCTCAAGGCTAGTGCTCTACCGCTTGAGCCATAGCAGCACTTCTGGTTTTCTGGTGGTTTTATTGAAGATAAGAGTCTCATGGACAGCTAGGCGCCAGTGGATAAGGCCTATAATCCTAGCTACTCAGGAGGCTGAGATCTGATGATTGCAGTTCAAAGCCAGCCAGGGCAGGAAAATGTGAGACTCCAATAATTCACCAGAAAACCGAAGTGGCATTATGGCTCAAGTGGTAGAGCGCTTGCCTTGGGCTGAAGTGCTGAGGGACAGCGCCCAGGCCCAGAGTTCAAGTCCCAGGACCGACCAAAAAAAAAAAAAAGTCTCATAGATTTTCCTGCCCAAGCTGGCTTTGAACTGTGATCCTCTGATCTCAGCCTCCTGAGTAGCTAGGATTACAGCGTGAGCCATCGGCACCCTGCTATAAATGATAGATTTTGGAGATAGAGCTTTTATGAGATATCTGGGCAGGGTGTTAGAGATCAGCTAGGATTTGGACAGGGAAGAGAATAACCAATTGGTGGGACAGGGCAATTCTAGGAGTCAAGGAGAGAGGTGGGCACTGTGGTCTGGGACACCCTCTTCATTTTTGGCCTGAACG